GTAAACACCATCAGAGGGTGACATGGACTCAAGCCTTTGCCGTGACAATAAAACCCTTTTGAGCAGCTACAACAAAGCGTTTGAAACAGGTATCCAGACACAAAGAAAATAAAGTTTGTGTAACATTAAAGCATGAACACATGTTTTACTAGAATACCCAAAGTATGAAGCTAGAAGTTAGAGCAATAATTATTTCAATGGTTTTGTGATCTTTTAAATGTATTAGCTTGTAAGCTGTAAAGGTTTCTCATTATATGAAATGATCAGTGTTGTTTCAGACTTTTTGTATTGTTTTTGTTTATGGGCATGAATTTGGTTTTCCTGCTGTGCATCACCAGTCCTACAGTACGCGCATAAATGCGGAAACTGGGCTTATTCATCAGAATTTCGTATGACTTGACTTGTGACTTACTTGACCTGAGCAATGACTTGACTTCACTTGCTTGACTATCATCACAGTGACTTGGGACTTGCTTGAGACTTGTAGGTTAAGTCTTGAGACTTGCTCATGACTTGCACATGTAGGACTTACTCCCACCTCTGCTATAAAGTAACGTTGGTGTCCCCATCAGAATCACTCAGGTATCATGAAAATGTAGCAGAATAATGAAACTCTGAGGTCTTATTATGATAAGTCTCTTGAAATGTGTTTCCTTAATTTTTGGCATGTCCCACACACTGCTCTGCTAACTACAGTGTGTATAATACGTGGTTAAATTATACTACATTTAAAAATGTTTAAACTTAGTTATTTGATCAAACGAGTCATTTCATCCTGTATATTCTATTTTCATAATAATATTGAACATTTTGCATGTGTCCTTGACATTTGCTGTCCACCCTGTCATTAAGGGGTAACTGCCCCATAAAAACCCTCTGATGTTTCCAGTGACATTACTACCACCATTGTGTCTTTCCTCAATGGAGGCTGAGACTGTGGGAGCTTGACCAACATCCATTTCTAACAGCATAACGTATACTTCATACAATGAAATGCAATGGATAATCTCTGATTTTTTTGTGGAAATGGGGAAGACTCAAATGCACCGTATGGTGATATTGACTCTTATGTAATCCTTTCAATGCAGGGCGTTTACTTATTTAATGTGGTATTTTTACAGTGTTTATCTCATCCATAGAGAACAGATGTATTGTCAGGTTTAGCCTCGGGGTTGTTCTATTGTTGCGCTGCTTCGGCCTTCTACAGTATATGCAAACTAAACACATAATTTGAATGTTATATCTGATAACTGTTAGCACCAAACATGAGTGACAGCAGTCTGCTTATTCACATGCCATTATTTATCTAACTAGAGCTGTGCTCAGAAAACATAAAGAACAATAAAGGAACTAATCTTTTTCCCTATAATTCTAAAGTTCAATCTTTAACCCATGCCAGTAATGACTAGTGACTTTGGCGAACCCCTGATTTGTACTGTAGTGCCACCATTGGGTTTGAATTTGAGGTTCAGACTGAAGCAAAAGTATGTACAGTAGAGGGACAATAGAGTGACTATTCATTTTTATTTCTATTTCATTATCTTTAATATTTAGTTATGTCAGTTATGTGGCTCTAGTGATGGAGAAAATAGCCTGTCTGTACTTTGCAACTGCCTCGGGACTCCCCCGGGATAACATATAATAATAATAATAATAGCTTAGATTTATATAGCGCCTTTCATGGGACCCAAGGTCCCGGAAGGCCACCTTCTTCAGTCGGACGGCTTCCCTGACCCCCGGTGTCCACCAGTAGGTTCGAGGGTTACCGCCCCTTGAGTTACATAAGACCTTGAGACCAGAGCTCCCTGCCACGGCTTCAGCAATAAGGCTTTGAACACCGCCCACTCTGGTTTTATGTCCCCAGCCTCCACAGGGATGCCTGAAAAGCTCCTCCGGAGGTTTGCGTTGAAGGCCTCCTGGACTTGAGACTCCTCCAGACGCTCCCAGTTCACCCGCACTACACGTTTGGGCTTACCAGGTCTGTCCAGAGACTTCCCCCGCCACTCGACCCAACTCACCACCAGATAGTGATCAGTTGATAACTCCGCACCTCTCTTTACCAGAGTGTCCAAAACATACGGCCTCAGGTCCGATGATATGATAACAAAATCGATCATGGACCTTCTGCCTAGGGTGCTCTGGTACCACATACACTTATGAGCATCCTTATGTTCGAACATGGTTTTTGTTATGGCCAATCCATGACTTGCACAGAAGTCCAGAAACAAACCACCACTCCGGGTTCAGATCAGGGGGGCCGTTCCTCCCAATCACGCCCCTCCAAGTGTCTCCATCATTGCCCACATGTGCGTTGAAGTCTCCCAGCAAGACTAAGGAGTCCCCTTCAGGAGCCCCATTCACGACTCTTTTCAGGGCCTCCAAGAAGGACGAATACTCTGAACTGCTGTGTGGTGCATAAGCACACACAACACTCAGAGTTCCCCCCCCCCCATAACCAGCAGGCGTAGGGAGGCGACCCTCTCGTCCACTGGGGTAAACTCAAACAAAGCGTCACCCAACCGGGGGCTGGTGAGTATCCCCACATCCACCCGGCGCCTCACACCTTGGGCAACTCCGGAGAAGAATAGAGTCCAACACCTATCAAGAAGTTTGGTTCCAGAGCCGACGCTGTGCATCGAGGTGAGCCCAACCAGATCCAACTGGTAACGCTCCACCTCCCGCACAAGCTCCGGCTCCTTCCCTCCCAGAGCGGTTACGTTCCACGTCCCCAAAGCCAGCTTCTGCCGTCCGGGTCTGGTTCGTCAAGACCCTCTGCTTTCACTGCCACCCTTCTGGCAGCACACCTGACCCCATCGCTGTTTCCCGTAGGTGGTGGGCCCGCGGGACGGAGAAGTGGAGGTGTTGCCCACGTTGCCTTTTTGGGCTATGCCCGGCCGGGTTCCGTGGCAAGCCCGGCCACCAGACGCTCTCCGACGAGACCACCCTCTGGGCCTGGCTCCAAAAGGGGACCCCAGGCTTCCTCCGGGCCGGGTATCCTCACTTCTTGTGTCGTCTTTCTTGAGGTCTTTGAACCAATCTTAGTCTGGCCCCTTGCCTGAGACCAATTTGCCATGGGAGATCCTACCAGGAACACAAGGTCCCAGATAACACAGCCCCCAGGTTCATCGGGGCACACAAACCTCTCCACCACGATAACGTGCTGGTTCTTCAAATTAAAAAAAAAAAAAAATAATCATAATGCGTCTCTGGTATTGTTCAGGGGGCCGGGCCAAATGTGGAGGCGGGCCGTACCCGGCCCGCGGGCCTTAGTTTGGGGACCACTGCTTTAAAGCATTGGAAACCTAACAACATGAAGTTCTATTAATGTAAAAGACACATCATTGTGACGACTATTTGTTTGTTCCTATAGTCAACTAAATGGTAATACAATTTTTTTAACAAAGTTGAAGTCTCAAATATGTAATTCAGCTACTTGCTTATTATTTGCCTACGCAAACAATTGTTGCGTCTGACCTTTTTGCATGACAGATGACAAGTATGCAGGTCCCCCGCTCAAGAAGGACCATGAAAAGCACGTCTGAAGTTTGTCAATGAACATCGGAATGATTCAGAGAAGGCTTGGGATACGATGATGTGGTCAGATGAGACCTAAATCAAGATCTTTGGCATTAACTCGACACGCCGTGTTTGCAGGAAGAGAAATGCTGACTATAACCCCAGAATACCATCACCACCGTCAGGCATGGAGGTGGAAACATTATGCTCTGGGGGTGTTTCTCTGCTAAGGGGACAGGACGACTTCACTGCATCGAGGAGAGGATGCACGGGGCCATGTACCGTGAACTCTTGGCCGATAGCATCCTTCCCTCAGCCAGGACACTGACAATGGGTCATGGATGGGTCTTCCAGCAGGACAATAAACCTCAACATACGGCCAAGGCAACGAAGGAGTGGCTAAAGAAGAAGCACACTTAGGTGATGGAGGTGCCGAGCCAGTCTCCAGACCTTAATCCCATAGAAAATCTGTGGAGGGAGCTGAAGCTTCGAGATGCCAAGCATCAGCCTCAAAACCTTCAGGATTTGGAGAGGATCTTCAGAGAGGAGAAAAATCCTTCCTGAGATGTTCACAAACCTGGAGACCAACTACAAGAAGCGTCTGACCTCTGTCTGTCCAACAAGGGTTTCTCCACCAAGTACTAAGACAAGTGTTGCAAGGGGATCAAATACTTATTTCCCACAGTTAGATGCAAATCAATTTAATCTTTTATATAATGTCAATTTCTGAATTTTCTTTTTGATATTCTTATTCTCACTTTTAAATTAAAGATACCATTAAAAATATAGACTGTTAATTTATTTGTAAGTGGGTAAACTTACAAAATCTGAAAGGGATCACAGACTTATTTCCTCCACTGTGTGTCCTTCTGTTGGATGAAATGTAGAAGCTTGTGGCCTGGATGACAAGACACTTTTTTTTAAACAATGTAGGTAATATTTTTTAGCCTATAAAGTTATTTTTGAAAAGTGAGGTTTCAAAACATAAAGCTTTTTTAATTGTAAAGCTGCTCTAAACATTCTGAATGTGTCTCAGTTCATGTTGGTTTGCAGTAAACACCATCAGAGGGTGAACATGGACTCAAGCCTTTGCCATGACAATAAAACCCTTTTGAGCAGCTACAACAAAGCGTTTGAAACAGGTATCCAGACACAAAGAAAATAAAGTTTGTGTAACATTAAAGCATGAACACATGTTTTACTAGAATACCCAAAGTATGAAGCTGGAAGTTAGAGCAATAATTATTTCAATGGTTTTGTGATTTTTTAAATGTATTAGCTTGTAAGCTGTAAAGGTTTCTCATTATATTAAATGATCAGTGTTGTTTCAGACTTTTTGTATTGTTTTTGTTTATGGGCATGAATTTGGTTTTCCTGCTGTGCATCACCAGTCCTACGCCCACATTACTCTATTGGTCCTACCTTGTAAATGCATGTGCAAATGTAAGTGAATAAGCCTGATGTAAAAAAGGTGTCAGTTCCATATCCACTTTGCATTTGACCTAATGTATAATATAAACAGCTGCACATCTGCAGTCTCTGTCCAAAAGAGAGGAACAGGGAAGAGACAAGGATGGAAACAGTTCTTCTGATCATCATCGCCCTTTCAGGTAATTATTATTTTTATTTAAAATATATTATCCCATTGGCAATTTTTAGTACTTTCTATTTTGGTTTCCCACTGACAATTACTTAAGTTATTTAATTTACAGTTTAACTTTAATGTAATTTGGAGAAGTCGGTTCAGTAATTGATATTGAATCTAATCAAAGTGTCTGTGTCTCTGCAGGGCTGAGCGCTGTCTCCTCACATGCTGAACGTCAGTACCATTTTGTTTCTGAAGCAAAGACCATGTCTGAAGCACAGAGATACTGCAGAGAGAAACACACAGACCTGGCCACTGTAGACAGCATGGAGGTTGTGAAGCTCCTGAACGACATGGCAGGCCAACACAACCAAGTGAGGTCACTTTGCTGTCTTTCGATTCAAATGAATTACATTTCTTTTAGAGTTAAATTTAAAAAGGAGAGATTATTACAGAAAGCTAAACCTGTTTTAAAGTCCTATGGGAACCTGAGTATTAAAACAGAGTTGAACATGTTTTAAGCCAAAGCTATAGCATGAAACCCTGTAATAAAGTGGAAGAGGTTCAGAGTAACAAGGCTGTGAATGAATGTTGACTTGAGGGGATTCCCTTTAGATCACCACGTACCAAGGCTGGCCTCATGAAGGCAAACCTTCTCTTTATTAAACATACACACTTTCTTCAGCATCAGCTTTAAAAGCTTCAACAGGATGTAATCATTATAACAATTTCTTGCTTTCAGGCAGCCTGGATAGGGCTGCACGATGACCGGGACACCAGGAGGTGGTCGATGTCAGACCCAAGCTTCTACGGACCGGGGCAGACGGAGTTCAGACCATGGAGGAGTGGACAACCAAGCAACGGGCACGATGAACAATGCACATTGCTTAATTCTGATGGAACATGGGTTGATAATGCTTGTAATTACGTAACCTGGGTGATCTGCTTTGATGTCACAGGTAAGAATATAAACTTAAAATTAATATAACACATTTAAAATCATATTTTAAGCTTCTGAAATACAATGCATTGGTCTTTATCTAACCAGCGGTTCCCAACCTTTTTTCTTTATGACTTTTTTTTCTTTTGTTAGCAGTTCCACTAAAGACATTTCCCTTTTCACTAAAATTCTCTCATGGTTTCATTTAAATGATAACGTAAAAGGAAATGATGTATATACAATACTTTGCTAACTTGTTTCAGAATTGTAGTTACGTTTCACATCTTATAAATCTGTGCTAAACAGAATAAGAACAATATAGAATCAATATAATTTGAATGAAGCTTTAACCTGTAACACAGTATCTTCACATCGTTGTACTTCTGCTTTTACTCAAATATCTGAATATTCCACCACTGATACTACTAAAGTTTCTTGCCAACATTCATGTGTTGAAAAACCCCAGAACTACAAATTACAAAGTACAAATGTGTGGGATTTAAATGTAATATTTTATGTTATAAAGACATCAATACCACCAGAGATGTGGCATTGATGTCAGGCTGTATGTCGTGGTGCCTCTACTCAGCTTCTCTGGGGTCCATTTTCAGGACCGAATGCAGCATTTGTCATCACTAAGAGCTCAATGAACTGGACTGATGCCCAGAGCTACTGCAGAGAAAACCACACAGACCTGGCCAGTGTGAGAAACCAGACGGAGTACCAGCAGATTGTTGATCTGTTACCTGAAGGAGGTTGGTATTGGATCGGCCTTTACAGAGACTCCTGGAAGTGGTCCGATGGAAGCAACTCCTCCTTCAAGTACTGGAAAGAAAATGAACCTAACTACAATGCTTTAAAGGTTTGTGTGGCTGCAGCTTTCGACAACTCTGGAAAATGGGAGGACTTGGACTGTGGAGTGGAGAAACCATTCATCTGCTACGGACGTGAGTAAAATTCACAGCTACGTCAAAGCAAGTGATGATATTGAGTCTGTTGAAAAAGAAGACACCATAAACGTTGTGACTGATGAAGTTTGTTTGTGTTTCTAGCTGTGCCTGTTTCAATGCAAGTGATAAAGGTGAGGGTGAAGAAACCAAACGGTGTGGATCTGAACGACCAAGCTTTTCTGGATGCGATGTTGGTGGAGGTAAATCATGTTTTCTACTTTGATGCAAACACATCACCAGAAAGGAAATTCCCATGACATGAGAACAAGAGACGAAAGAGGTAGGAAACAAATAACTATTAAAGAATAATGAATTCAACGAAAGAAAATGCAGTAAATGAATTTCAATGCGAATGAAATGGACCAAGATGAACATGAATGAAATTCTATATCCATTATCCATTCAATACTTTGGCCACAAATAACAGGACCCAAGCATTTAGTAAGAAGACGTGTAAATATGTGCAGAAGTAAATAGCAGAAACTTAGCCACATGCCACCAAATGCATTAGGAACATGTACAAATACTATTCCATAACCTGAGGTAAGCCTTTACACTGGAAGAAATAAGGGGAACAGCTACCATTTCAGATGAGTGAGCTAAAGAGAAATCATCTGTTTTTACTGGAACGATAATGATAATGAGTTTTTGTGTCTCAGGCGAAAAAGAACCTAAGGGCCCAGGGATTGGACGACAACGTCCAAGTGGCCTGGAGGAAGCAGCCGGATGGACAAGTCTTCCACGAGGAGGAGGAGAAGAAGAGGGATGAGCTCTAAAGCTGAATTGCTGTGTGTGATTTGTATCAGAGAAAAGTGCATTTCTTTCCTCAAAGTCCTCGTGTTACAGAATTCAGCTGCAACAATGATCTGAATAATCTATCAGTAGTGAGATAAGATAAGGGTTGTAATGTTTTCTATATGGTTTTGAAGTTAATATGTTTGGGGTGTTAACTGTTCATGTATCTGCTTGACCTGCGAAAAACTGGATTTATTTTCCGATTTTGTGACTTTTTATATGTTTCTTTCAGATAAAATATAATGAGACATTTTAAAATAATATTAGATTTAATAGAGGGCAATTCCAGGAAATCTTATTACCAATTAACATGATGACCTCTAATGCATCTTTACAGTCATTTCATACAACAATTTAATTCTTCATTTGAAACTAATATTTCATCCTAAAAATGTGTTGTGCAATTACTCACTGTTATTAATATCTTCAATTGAGTTAAACATTGTGTTTATTGCTCCTTTTCTTTAGGGATGCAAACTTTAAGATATGTTCCTAAAATTGGTGAATCAGCTTCCAGAATATGAAGATGTAATGTTTTCTCTGTGCTATGTGGTCATAAACTGAATCTCTTCGGGTTTTAATTCCCTCTGGCTGTGGGATATATAACAGGCATTGTACTCTTTTGTGTGACATTTGATAGATTAGATGTTATTAGATTATAAATTAAGATATTAAATAAAATTGATTACCTTTAACGTTCAAACAAATTAAATATCAGTTTTCGTTGCATGTATGTAATGTGAGGATATCTTCAAATAATTTAAATAGAAAATAATTAATTGTACTATTTTCATCCTTATTAAGGATATAAACTTGAAGCAAATGTCCTTAAATTATCTATAACTGTTTTACGTTACTCAAACACCCTTCTGGCAACAATGCTGAATATTCGCTGGTTCCAGCTTCTTAACTATTATTATAAGATTTGATGTTGTTTTTTGTCATGATGAAATTAATATTCTGTTTTAAAAAGATAATCACGATGCAGAATAAACTATATCCAATAAAGAGATTATTTATTTGAATTATTTATTCAATGATTTCTCACATGTTGGATTATTGGTTATTGGTCAGAATGGTAATTTCCCTGATTTTAGACACTTTTTAGCCAACTGACTCTCAATGTAGATATATAGATATCTGTTGTCCTTTATTCAAGAAAATATATATTTACATCACACATTATATACACACAACACCTTGACATCAGGGGTACATAGGTACAGACACAGTAACTAAAAAGTGAACATATATATACTGTATAAACTTAGTACATTTACTTTAGCCTGTCGCGTAGGGGCCGGAGATGAGAGTTCATGTTTGGGTTTTGGGCTGTCACAATTGGGTGTTATTCACTGTGTGTGCCATAGGGTGTCGCTGTAGGATTCCCTATGGCACAGGTATTTAAGGTTTGTTTTGTCACCTGATTGAGGTGTTTTACTCATTTCATGCAGTATTTTGACAGTGTTGTGGATCTCCAAGGAGAACAGATGTATTGTCAGGTTTAGCCTCGGAGTTGATCGATTGTTGAGCTGCTTCAGCCTTACTAACTATATGCAAACACAGATTGATTTGAATGTTTTATCTGAAATCTGTAAGCAACAAACATCAGAATCAGAAACGGGTTTATTGCAGGTTCACACGTACGAGGAATTTGACTTGTCATAAAATATAAAACAAAACAATTAAAAAGACTACACAGATAGCGAACTATATTAAGAACACTGTAAAACAATATGGATAGATAGCAATAAAATAAAGCAGTAATTTACAGCGAAATAGAATGCAGTGAATTATAGAATATAAAATACGAAATATGTGCAGTAAGCAATATTTGAACAATATTTGGACATTGTGTGCATTAATGTAATGCGTATAGAGTCTGCGTTATGACTGAGGTAAAGTGTCAGTGGGGGGGCCGGGCCTTGTTTAAGAGGCCGGTAGCGAAGGGGAAGAAACTGTTCAGGTGGCGAGAGGTTTTGGTCCCGATGGAGCGCAGCCTCCTGCCAGAGGGGAGGGGGGTGAACAGTTTGTGTCCAGGGGTCGGCCACTATCTGCCCGCTACGAGGCGGGCAGGTCGTGGAGGGATGGCAGATTGCAGCCGATCACCTTGTCTGCAGAGCGGACGACACGCTGCAGCCTGCCCTTATCCTTGGCTGTGGCTGCGGCGTACCAGATGGTGATGGAGGAGGTGAGGATGGACTCCATGATGGAGGGGTAGAAGTTCACCATCATTGTCTTTGGCAGGTTGCATTTCTTCAGCTGCCTCAGGAACAACATCCTCTGCTGGGCTTTTTTGATTAGGGAGCAGCTGTTATGCTCCCATTTGAGGTCCTGGGCGATGATGGTGCCCAGGAAGCGGAAAGACTCCACAGCAGTTACTGGGGAGTCACACAGAGTGATGGGGGCGGGTGGGGCTGCGTTCTTCCTAACATCCACAACCATTTCCACTGCCTTGAGAGCATTGAGCTCTAGGTGATTGTCCCTGCACCAAGTCACCAGATGGTCCCAGACTCGTCCCCACCAGAGATAAGTCCGATGAGCGTGGTGTCGTCTGCGAATTTCAGGACCTTGACAGACTGGTGACTAGAGGTGCAGCTGTTGGTGTACAGGGAGCAGAGCAGAGGGGAAAGAACGCAGCCTTGAGGAGAACCAGTGCTGATGGTCCGGGGGTCAGAGACGTGTTTCCCCAGCCTCACGTGCTGCTTCCTGTCAGACAGGAAGTCAGTGATCAACCAGCAGGTGGAGTAGGGCACGTGCAGCTGAGCTTGTCGTGCAGCAGCGCCGGGATTATGGTGTTGAAGGCAGAGCTGAAGTCCACAAACAGGATCCTGGCGTAGTAGTTTCCTGCTGTGTCCAGGTGCTGGAGGAGGAAGTGAAGGGCCATGTTGACAGCATCGTCCACAGACCTGTTGGCTCTGTAGGTGAACTTCAGGGGGTCCAGGAGGGGGTCTGTGATGGATTTTAGGTGTGATAGGACAAGGCGCTCAAAGGACTTCATAACCACAGAGGTCAGGGCGACGGGTCTGTAGTCGTTTAATCCTGAGATCCTGTTTTCTTGGGAACCGGGATGATGGTGGACTGCTCATTCTCATGCCATTATTTATGAAACTAGACCTGGACTAAAAAAACATAAAGAACAACGAAGCAATTATAATTTATATTTCTCAATCTTGAATATCAAGCCATCTAGACATGGATCTAGAGATGGAAAAGTTAGTCTGCCTTTCGTTCCACCACTCTTGTCCGGACTCAAATACAGCGGAGGAAATAATGATTTGATCCCTTGCCGATTTTGTAAGTTTAACCACTTACAAAGAAATTAACAGTTTATAATTTTAATGGTAGGTTTATTTTACTAACAAGAGACAGAATATAAAAAAGGATATCCAGAAATGTACATCATATAAGAGATATCAATTAATTTGCATTAAGTTGTGGGAAATAAGTTGGACACACGATAAAGGAAATGTTCAAATTCGGCTCTGATCGTAACAACATCGGGCCATTCGTGAGGGCATCTTAAGCCATCGTATGACCGCCGGTGGAGTTTCTCAGGCTCCGGCAGCAACTTCGTGAGCAGTGGCAAAATCTTTGGCATGCCAAAAAATTGCCAAAATACCTTACGAAGTTTCATTTTCGTGTTGAGTTAGTGTGTCCATTTGCCCTTCGTAAGGCCATCGTGAGGGCATCTTGTCAAATCGTGTCGTTTACTTTGTGTGATCATCGGTGCCATCGGGCATTTTTCGCCTAACGAAGACAATACGAAGGAAACAAGAAGCTGCCCGATTGTCTTAGGAAGGCAACACGACTGCGTGAAGCCCTCACAATGCCGTCGTGTAGTCATCATATTATAGTACAATGACATCGAGATGGGACCACGCCACGGTATCGGCGAAGACAGACGAATTTGAGTAGCTCAAGTGTTTCCCATGTGTCATGGTAACGTGGACGTATTAAAAGGCCAGCCTCAGAGCATCTTCCTCAGTCAGTCCTGAGAAACTCTACAGAGCAGAGGCGCTTCAATCACAATTAATCACAAATGCTCAATCGAAGTCAGTAGCAGTGATGATACCTGTAGTAAGCAGGTGAAACAGGAGCATGAGGACACGGTGTGCTATGTTTCCTTGCAGATCGCTTCTCTGGTTGTTTTATTGCACAACAAAATCATGTAAACATATTATGTAAACAACCCAATTTGTGTTCTGTGAAGCTGAAAAGGATATTATCTTGTTTTTGTTACTTTCGTTGCAGTTGTATGTCTTAAATGTAATTGATGTTAAAGGTGGGGTATGTAATTTTGGAGAAACCAGCTCGAGTGCGCTAGAATTTGAAAGTACACGACAGGAAAAAATCTGCCTCTTCCTTCAGACTTCCTTACAGAGCCCCTCCTCCAACACACTTGAACGCGCACATGACCAATGAGGGCACGAGATAAGTTTGTGCACAGATGGAAGGCTGACAGGCAGGTAGGCCATCCAGTTACTTTAGCCGGGCCGGCTCAGATGATTGGTCCGTAATGTTCTGCACAACATCACATGGGTAAAATGAGCTTATTGTTGCCCTGCAAAATCACATTTGGTGTATTTCCAAAAAGCTGTGAAAATACACCTATATCAGTCATGTCCTGTAAAATAGCATTTTGTGTTTATTTCCATCATTCAGGCAAATACACATATATTTGTCCGCTCCAGGAGCTTCAAAGTGCAGACCTCTGAGCCCTGTAAAATATTATTATTCCGACCGCCAAGCACCGGCATGTGGACACGGGCAGGAGGCCCAAAAGTACCCCAAAATAGTGTTCCATAAGGCGGGTAGAGTCCCCTGATAACTCTCCTTGCATTCCTCCAGAGTCAGAAAAAGTCTAAGTTAACTTTTGGAAGAATCAGAGAAAAGGGTGAAAATGGATAAATTGTATCCGAAAATAGTGTCTCTTAAGGCGAGTAGAGTCCCCTGACAACTCTCCCTACATTCCTCCAG